CATCTCAAATTTGTTATTGTGTTTTGTTTCAGGTAATTGGGATGCACTACTTTTCTCCAGTTGACAAGATGCAGCTCCTGGAAATCATCACCACTGATAAAACCTCCAAGGACACAACAGCCTCAGCGGTGGCGGTCGGCCTGAAGCAAGGCAAAGTTATTATCGTCGTTGGGGTGAGACTCTGCATATTCTTCCATCAGTCCAGAAAACACGTTTTACAGATCAACAATCCATTCAAATAAATGGGATTGAGTGGCTAATTGCAGTGTTTGTCTTCAGGACGGACCAGGATTCTACACAACCAGATGTTTAGGTCCCATGTTAGCGGAGGCAGTGCGTGTATTGCAGGTTTGAATTATTCATTTCCATCTGCTGTTAAAGTGTTTATGTGCAAAAATCAGGCTATGGTGACGTTCTACATGGAAACACACCTGATATACAGATCATGATTTTGTTCTCTACATACAGGAAAATGCTGACCCCAAGAAGCTGGACTCCCTGACCAAAAGTTTTGGCTTCCCTGTGGGTGCTGTTACCCTGGTTGATGAAGTGGGCATTGATGTGGCAGCTCATGTGAACGAAGACCTCAGCAAGGCCTTCGGCTCCAGATTTGGAGGGGGAAATGTTGAGGTCTTTAAGACCATGGTGGAAAAAGGATTCAAAGGTACATTCTTTAGCTTAAGCAAAAGCACAATTAAGCTTTGACGCGTATGTGTACAGCCAAATGCATAGCCTTTCAAAGTAGGCCCTGTTTTGATAGCATGCACGAAAAGTTTCATTATTGACCTGTTGTGCTTTCATCAGTTTAGTTACAACCAAGGCACGGGTTGCATTAAAAATTGGCAATGTAAAAGCTTGGGAACCGAACCTGAGTTGGTTTGAGTTTAGCTGTGCTGGAACTCTGGTGTAATTTGTGTGAATGAGAAAGATGCGACATGAACAGAAAATAAAAATATTTAATGATGATTATCCTGTATAGTATATACAGATGACCAAATATAATGCTGAAATTAATGTTGTATGGACCATTTAGGTAAAATATGGTCTGAAAAATCTACAAAAATCTATTTTGAAATGGAAAATGTGCAGGAACCCTGCAGGAATGATCAAAATGTTCAATTGATTTGTACTGTTGTTTAAAAAAACGCTAAATGTTCAGCTTACAACATCTCTCAGTAGACAAAAGAACTTCATGATCTCTGGCAATTCAGTATGGCGTCTACCCTGATTAATTCTGTTCTTTGGGTTTATTGACATTAACATGTTCAGTATAATTGCCATAAAATATTTCTTTTCAATTATCACAATTTAGGCCGGAAGTCGGGCAAGGGCTGCTTCATCTACCAGCCAGGACTTAAAAGCAGAGATGTGAACCCAGAAGCTCTGGAGATTTTGGAAACATTCAAGCTGCCGCAAAATGCTGCAGTGTAAGTTGCTCAGACTGTAGATGTAGTTTAATTCGTAAAATGGCTTCTAAGGATAATGCTTAGTTTATCATCCAGTAAACCGTATTTCTGCTCATCACTGCTTCTTTCTGTCGCTTTACCCAGATCTTCAGACTCAGATATACAGTACAGGCTGGTGTCTCGTTTTGTGAATGAGGCTGTTCTGTGTCTACAAGAGGGCATCCTTGCCAATCCAGTGGAGGGTGACATTGGGGCAGTGTTCGGTCTTGGCTTTCCACCCTGCCTTGGAGGTGAGATTCTAATATCTTGATTCACTCTTTGGATTTTTTCTTGAACTTTTCCTTTAAAAACCGTCATTTTCAGATTAAAGGTGCTATACTGTATGTATTTGTTTTGACTGTACTAAAGCATAAACATACCATAATATGTTTGCAGATATTTAGGAAACATTCAAAGTTCACATACTTGTTTCTATGAAAAACAATGTTACAGCCAGTTATTCTGTGACAGAATGTCTGTTTTTGTTTTGGACCGTGTGACCCCGCCCACCACCAATTTACCCAATAGAGTGCAACAGTTTTTCAGAGGCGCTGGTTCCAAAAGTTTTTTTTTGAAATTTGTTTTTCCCATAGGGAGTTCAAAATAGTCTTTGTTAGAGAGTTATAAGAGATGAGCCAAGTCAATCAGCTACGAGTTGAATCCCAACATTACAACAAAAAAACAAAACAAAGGTAAAAGACTGTGTACTTTAGTAAGGGAAAGAACTACAATCCCATTAAGCATTGCGAACGATGCATTGCTATTGAATTAAAAATGACAGAAAAGGTGTTGCATCGTGTGAGAGATTATTTGCTCCAAGTGAGAATGTTCGTGTGAAACTGAGCACAGTAATGTTGTTTTCAATAAAAAAACATTTGCACAAAGTAAGCCGATCCACTTTTCCATGTTAATAAGAGCATAAAAAATGAGAAAAAAATAATGGGACGAAAAGAAATCAAGAGACATTTAGAATAGATAAAAATGTCAGATTAATTGCGACTAATCACGAGTAAACTATGACATTAATGCGATTAATCACGATTAAATATTTGAATCGTTTGACAGCACTACAAAATATACATGTTAAATATACACATGTATACATGTTATATAAGGATTTATATAGAGGAGAGCATATAGAGATCGACTCGATAACTTCATTAGCAGTGTGCTTCATGGGAGTGGGCGGAGCTAAAGAGCTATTTCTGTAGAGCATCATGGGTTCGGATGCCACTGTTAAACACGATTATTTAAAAAAATAAACTGAAATAATGTGGGCTGATGGCTTCAGCAGAAGCAAACATGGGTTAACAGTTGCACAGCAGGTCTGTCTCTAAATGTTTATAAGTTATCGTTCAAAATCGAATTTTTAATTTAGAGTTTTAACTTCCGGAACCCAACTGTTGCACTCTATTGTACTTCGACACCCCGTGTCGCCAGTTGGCAGAAAACACCGCGTATTGCAGCCATGGAAACCAGCAAAAGAACTTGGTCAGAGATCGTAGATTCTGCCCAACCTAAAAAGCCTTGGCATCCATCTAAAAAGCTCTATGACCAGAGGCATATTAAAACTCGTATAAATTAACTCGTTGCTTCCATTGCCGATTGTGTTGGATTTCCTCAATCCGGCAACCATTGTGAGCGAGGAGATGGTGGGGAAATATGACTCCAATTTTTTGAATTTGGACTGCAGTACCCATTTTAACCACTACTAGCTGTCAAATATTTCCTACTGCACCTTTAAGGTATATCAGCATTCAGTCCTTTCATTATGTGAATTGTCAATGCAGGGCCCTTCAGGTTTGTGGACTCCTTTGGTGCAGACAAACTTGTGGCGAAGATGAGAAGGTTCGAGGATGTCTATGGGAACCACTTTACTCCTTGTCAGCTGCTGCTTGATCACGCCAAGGATCCAAGCAAGAAATTCCACAAGTGACTTCAGCCGTCATGTGCCATTACGACTTCATAGAAGTTTCAGAGATTTAAGTGAAAAACAAGCGATTGATTGTGCACTTAAAGCAAGAGTTCAGAATATCAAGGGCCTTATTTGTTCCTTGTCAAGGCAATAACAATTTAACCCCCCGCCCCCCCGGAAGATGCCATGTACATGACTAATATTCAGGTAGACTTTGGCCAAGTGATAGCCTTCAACTAAATTAAACTATTTAGTTTTTGGGTTGTGTTTGTATATTAATGAACTCTTTTGGTGAATTTGTTTTCTAATGGTTTTGCACAAGTAAAATGTTCAGGCAGAGACATCAGGCACGTTCCATTACAGTCTGGGTGTCAAAGGAAAAACCCTAATGTATAGTCCGAAAGCACTTGTCTGTAAAATAATTTTTCATTTCAGCAAGCTTCTGTACTTGCACACAATCTCTCTCTGGACATAGAATGTGGCCTCAGAAAAAAAATATGTCAATGAATTAAATGAAATGTTAAAGTCTTCTGTGGTTTATGGTGTTTTTATTGACTCTGGGTCTGGAGACGGGTACATCAACGTCTCCAAACTGTTCATTTCTAGTTTACCCCAGACTAAGAATAAGGAGCATAACAATTGGGGGTTCGCCAATCGCCCGGGATCAGCAGCACATGTCTGTAATCTGTTCTGTACAAACAACGGAGCGAAAAAGAAACAAAGAAAACAATCAAACACCAGAAACATCATCCTACAGACTTTCCTAAATGCAATGTGCAAAATTGAGTAGAAAGGCTATTGTTATTAATGGGCTATTAGCTTTTTCTTATGGAGAGAAAACTGAATCTTCTACAGGGGTGATCAATCAAATTCAAAATAACACATAAATGCCATCAAATAAATATTTATTGGCCAGTGTTATTTTAGTTATCTATTATACTATTATAGTTTTTATTAATATCTTTATAATTGTTTTTATTTTTACATTTTATTTTTAGTAATTCTAGTAGATCAAATTATTCTATTTTGCTTATTTGCCAAGGCAACATTTCTAATTTTCAGATTTTAAAACTCAAATATTCATACTTTATTTCATATTTATTTCAATGAACAAAAAATATTTTTACTGTAGTTTTAGTTAACAGTAACTAACAAATCTGTCATAAACATGAAATTTAAAAAAATAACATTTTAAAGTTTTCGCTAAGTATAGCACTTTACAACAACATTAATGTATTATTAATGTACATTTGGCTATTACTGCAATATTCACATTTAAACCTATATCGACCTACAAAGCTGTTTTGACTCCTTTGAAGGTGTTCATATAAAAAGAGAAAAAATAGGATTGATTTATGAAAGGTATGAAATTAGCACATTTGTTTTAGTTTTTGCCAGGTTAGACCTAGCCATTAGCAATACAATATTTTGCGTTTTAAATATTAATTTTAATTTATTTATTTAGCTTAATCAAGATTTTGATCTAGTAAACTGATTTAATTCATTATTCATGTGTAACTCTCCTTATTTAAAAAAAATATATATATATTTGAATCAACTGTGAACTGGTTAGAAGCAACTTCCGGGCCGAGAAGTATATCTTAGCTCCGCCCCCCTCGGCCCTTGGCTCTTCCATCTCTGCCATCCGGAAGTTTCCCCGTGGATGATGATGATGTTGGCAATTACAGCGCGCTGATTTGCTCGTCATCTGTCTAGCGTTCAGTGAACGGAGTGACCGAGGAGGATGTGAGGCTGTCTGAATTCCCCATTCGGCTCCTCGGCATGCAGAAGAGAAGCGCGTGAGGAGAGGCAGTGTGATTTTCGTCAGGATGCTCAGGCTGTTCGCGGCGCTGATGATTGTTGGGCTTCTGCTCGCCTGCTTCACTTCCTGGCTGTTTGACAGCTATGACACCGCCTGGCACCCGAAGCGCAGCTTACACCAGTCCAAGAAGGTCGTCCCACCGTTTCCCAGCGGGCAGCGGGACAATATATTTTGGTTTGTGCAGGTAAACTGTTAAGCACTAAGCAGTGAATGAGAGAGGCCATGATAATGTGTCACACTGTCATTAGACCGTCAATGAGCTGATCAGTGATCATGTGATCGATTGGGAAATGGCTTTTATTTTGTGCTCTGCCATAATAATGTATTCCTCGATTAATGTGCGTAAAGGTTAACCACGAAAGGTCGGAATATTAGCTGTTGCATGACATCGAAAACGAATAATAAATGTAAATGAATAGTAGCTGTATTGTTTATGTATTTGAATCAGTAAAGTTCTTGCATAGTTATGATAAAGACTATACATGTTATATTTGGTTTATACAGTAGGTGTTACAAAAATGAAATACAAAGGACACATCACACAATTCCAGTGTAATCCATCCTTTAATGTAGTATACTGATTTAATATTAATATGTAACTTTTCTATTGTCTTAAGACATCTTGGGTAGGCTTACAACTCCTCCGTTAATGACAATTTAGAGGATTTAAATTCTATTGTAATAGAATTGTATTGTAATAGAATTACACAATTTAAGTAAAAAAAATATGTTAATGCTGGGACACAACTTCAGCAAAAAATGTAATTTTTAGAGTAAATGTCTTTTTTGTGAAAAACTATCATATCATAAATTTCTTTTATATTTCTTATATTGGCTCATTGTACATTGACATAGAAAATAGTATAGTTCATAACTGGTTCTTCAACAATGAGTAAGATTTGACTCTTGGAATAGTTATTTTTATAAGAACAATTTAATAAAGTGAAACAGAAGGCTTAATTACTGTGTGTCCTTCACACTCCACAACAACATACTCTAACTATACCATTTTGTTGGTGTGTATTTGATGAAACATTTATTTGAGTGTAGACTTTCATATAGTCACATTAATTTGTGTCATTTTTTTGTCATAAAATAGTATATTTATATAAGAGGTAGAGAGAGACCATTTGGCATTTTTGATCTGCTATATGTATGACATCCTGGAAACAAAAAGCATGTCAGTCTGATGTGTATGTACAGTGTGGATGAAGCCCTTTTATTATAGTTTGTATGGTAAAACATGAAATCTCCTTCAGCTGTGTGCTAACTCACACATAAGAGATGCCTCCTCTAATACGCCAGTGACACTTGTTCTATAAATAAGCAAGTTTTAAGTGTGAGATGTCCAACACTCACTGTTAACTACACAAAGGACTGCATGAAACTCATTATGGACTGTTTTCCAACCCTGCTGATTTCTCTGTGTAGGTGTCCGACATCCATATCAGTCGTTTCCGCGATCCGGGGCGCATTCCAGACTTCGAGAGGTTCTGTAGTGACACTATCGATGTGATAAAACCTGATCTTGTGCTGGCCACAGGTGAGCTAAAATATGTTATTTACACATAGAATTAAATTTTATATGCAGCATAAAACACACAAACACGTATGTTTCTTTTGCAGGGGATTTAACAGATGCAAAGACTGAGAATAAAATGGGCTCGCTTCAACATGAAGTGGAGTGGCAGGCCTACTACAACGTCCTTAAAAGATCACGAGTGCTGGAACGCACTAAATGGATCGACATTCGGGGAAATCATGGTGATTATTTTTATGATTTATGATTAAGGATGAAGTTCGAAAATATCGATTGTTGACGAACAGGTTAACCGTAACACTTCCAACCTGATCTATGAATCTTAAGATCAGAATTAAGTTTCCTCTGCGCACGTCACTGTTGATCAGGGACAATAAATCTCCATCTTTGGCCCAGTGTCTGTTGGCAATAAAACAATTAAAGCAAAGACAGCTGGACACTATTATGTCGCACTAATGACTTGAAATGAAGCCCAGCTCTATTAAACAGGATATTGCCTGCTTGTTGTGACACAAGAACAAACTTCAGTGGATTAATGACAACTTTGCCATCATGAGGCTGCTTATCATCTTATCATTACTCTAGTTTCCTATCTTGATTTAAAGGGATAATTTAGTCAAAAATGAAAATTCTGTCATCATTCAGACAACATTGTTTTGAGTATACAGTATATTCATATTTTGGGTTAACACTTAACACTTTTGTTTTTATATTAAAGTTTTTATCATTTTTAATGTTTTTTTTATTGTTTTAGCTTTATTATAATTATCAAATATATATATATATATATATATATATATATATATATATATATATTTGGGGGTGTTTATAGGGTTTCTTTTAATTACCAATAACAACAATTTTACTCAGCTACTCTTCAAACTCATATGATATTTTATTTGTGTCTGTCATAAACAAAAGGAGATATTTATATGAACATTCAAGCTGCACTTTTACATTTACAAAATACGTGTTTAACATACAGTTAATGTTTCTTCTGGTATAAGTATATAAATATTAAGGTACAAAAATGGCATCAGCTTAAGGAGGAGTGGATCTCTAATGAACTCGCATGGCTCACATATCATTTTTGCCCCTATTCCCATGATCCCATTTCCCCAAAGGTCCTGTTACTGGTGTTACATTTACGAAAAGCTTCCAGCCATGTAATAAGAGCTCCATTATCAGTTATTTTGTCCCCACTCTTCTTCCATTTCCAGGAAATCTTGACTAATATTCTCTTCTTGTCTCCTCAGATGCCTTTAATATTGTTTCTCTGGAGAGTGTGAACAATTATTACAGGTCAGTACAAATATGACGGATGCAGAACATAATGGCTTTAAAGCTACACAAAGGTTCGATATAAAAAAATCCCTTTACTTTTTTAAATGCACGTCTAATAGTCATGTGAAATGGCTTCTCCAGTCAGACCAGTTATACAAGTTTTACACTGACTTGTTGTCAACCGTTTTATTCTTAGGAAGTACTCTGCCAATCAGAAAGTTGGATCCTTCCACTACATACACAGAACCCCCTTTGGGAACTACTCGTTCATTTGTGCCGACGCCACTCTGACCCCTGGACCCAAACGGCCCTATAACTTCTTTGGGATTATCAATCAAGTAGGAGATATGTTCATTTTAGCTTTGCTTATTTAAATGTAGAGCTGCACGATTAATCGTTAAAAGTTTGCGATTCCGATTCAAACACCCATGCAATCTTATTCCTAAATGACAGCCATTCGGCTATGTCTATTAAACATTTGACAAGTCTTTTCACAAACAGTCTTTTTAACCACACAGTATGTTACAAATATTCATATTATCACAGAATTACTGGGATAAAAGTTTATAGTTCGGATATAAGCAATGTCTATGGAAGTAAATCAAGTGGTCAAAATAGAGCCTCACTGTTTGAAAGTAACATGGCGCTTCAACAACTGTATCAATTACATCGTTACGCCAGTAGGTGGCGACAAGTGACTGTTAAAAATGTATTAGTCATTGAATCATTCATTCAAGAGGTTTGTTCAAAAATACAGATTTATCCAGTAATGAAATGAGTGAGTAATGAATGTATTAGTCATTGAATCATTCATACAGATTTCTTTCTTTCTTTTTATTTATACATATTAATTAAACATTTTAAATAGACTGCAGTAATTAACATTTCGTTGGAAATTCTAGTACATTACATTATTTTGTTAAGTTGTCTGCTCAGAACTGGCAAAAAAATCGTGATTTATCAATTTATCCAGAATCGTGCAGCTCTATGTAAACGTGATGACAACTTTCTCTTTAGACTGAAATGTGAATGTTCCCCATAGACTCAGATGGACATGTTGGCGACGTTTAGAGAGGAGAGCTTGAGCAGTAACAAGTCCATCTGGTTTGGACATTATACCACATCTACTGTCATCTCCCCCTTCCCAGGAATCCGAGAGCTCATGAGGTTTGGAGAAATCTCAAAGTAACTCTGTCATCCAATTCGATTGTTTCCCCCCACTGATATCTGGCCCAAATCAAATATACTTGTGTTGCTGTATGCTTATAAATAGCAAAACTGTTTGAGATATATATATTTTTTTTAGGGCTGGGCAACAATTAATCATCCAAATCCAAAATAAAAGTTTGTGTTTACGTAATATATATGTGTCTAGTGTGTATAATCATTTTGTGTATATATACATAGTTACACACACATGCATGTATATATTTAAGAAATATTTGCATGTATATACTTTATATATATTTATACACAATTAAATATTATGTATAAATAAAAAAATAAAAATATTTGTATATAACACATTTTTCTTAAATATATACATGCATGTGTGTGTATTTATGTATGCAAAATAATTATACGCAGTACACACACATATATTATGTAAACACAAACTTTTATTTTGGATGCGATTAATCGTTGCCCAGCCCTAATTTTTTAAAATATGATTTGGGTATTTTTGCTTATCTAAAACTTTGACTAAACAGCATAAGGTTGTCAAATATGATTACAGTGTACAGTAAACGTTTTAATAAATATTCTTTAGCTTCCGCCTGCACCTGGTCATCTATAGTATTTATGTTTCGAATGTTTTGATGATTTGATTGATTGATTGAATGATCTGTAAATGACCAAACCGAATAAATAATAATAATAAAAAAAATTAAAGCTGCAGTCTGTAACTTTCCCCCCCAAAATTGATATAAGAGTGTACATCATGAATTCATGTTCCAAACCATGTTTTTGTCTTATCCTGAATCACTACGGTACACCTATAATAAGTGTTTATATAAGTGTTTATACCTGCGTGACTTGTCATAGACATAAATGGAAAGAAGTAGCTCCGGCTACACCGTTTATCCGCAAGATGCATGCAGTTCTGTTTATTGACCACTAGAGCGCCAAAAGTTACAGACAGCAGTTTTAAATGTAATTTTTTCCTGTGATGGTAAAGCTGAATTTTCAGCAGCCAGTCTTGGCATGGCATTATTGTGTACCCAGTACACAGTGTCTTAAGTAAATGTAATCAAATGGATTGCAGGGTAATCAATAAGTCCATTAATTTCAGTACAAACACATCGCATTCTGTTAAACCTTGCAATTTCATCCGTTGTGTTTTTTTACAGTACAGCCGTAGCGTATTTGTGTGGGCACTTACACACACTAGGAGGCTTCATGCCGGTACTGCACAGTCGACATCAAGGAGGCACGATGGAGTTAGAGCTGGGAGACTGGATGGAGAACCGCAGGTAAGTTCACAAAGAACGAGGTCCACACTCAAGGGAATGCCACATGATGTAAATATAGCTGACTGCGTGAACAAATACAAGAACAACAGCTGATATATGTGGAAGATGATTTGTTGTGCCCTAACTCTTATATAAAAACAAAAAAATGGAGTCACATGCAGTTCTCCCTTGGTTCAGGTACAGGATATTGGCTTTCGACCATGACCTGCTTAGTTTCTCTGATTTGACGTTTGAGGACTGGCCAGCTGTGCTGATCACCAATCCCAAAGACGCACAGTACCTTCACCCAGGAGTGGAGCCTCTGGGTCGAATCCGCAGTTCCACGCACATCAGGTGTCTCTGTGTGTGTCCTCTTGAAACTTCAAGAACCTTCACCAAATGTTGATTAGAGCTGCACGATAAAATGAGTATCACAATTTCTCCCATGTTTAATGTTAAATGTTAAAGGGTTAGTTCACCCAAAAATGTTGTACAATATTTACTTGTTTCAAACCCGTAAGACTTTCGTTCATCTTCAGAATACAAATGAAAACCTTTTTGATAAAATCTGAGAGCTTTCTGTCCCTCCATAGAGCTACGCAGAATGAATGATTCAATGACTCACTCTTAAAGACTTAACTTGTTTTATTTCTGGATGAATCAGCAGTTTTTTTTTTAAACTAATCTTGTGAATGAATGATTTAATAACATTCACTTGTCGCCACCTACTGGCGTAACAATGTAATTGATACAATTGCTATTTGAATCGCCAAGTTACTTTTGAATGTTCCGGTGTGATTTGGTCAAAGATTTATTAGACAGATTGCGTAGGTGTTCGAATCGAGATTATGATCTTTTAACCATTAATCATGCAGCTCTAAACTTATGAAGCAGTATTGTCTCTCATCTAAACCTCACACTGGCTTGTCCCGTCATACCCTGAATGCCACATTTTGAAGTTGCACTTATTGTTGCTGAATGTGTGTCGTGTTCTGTAGGGTCCTGGCTTTTTCTGAAGCTCCGATCACAGCTGTGTATGTGAGTGTGGATGGAGTTTCACTGGGAAAAGCATTCAGCGCTGGGGGTCCTTTATATGTGCTGCTCTGGGACCCAACACTCTACGCTATGGGACTGCACACTATCAGAGTAAAAGTGGAGGTAGGTAATCAACCTTTGAAGCATGAAACTTTAGGGTGTAACCATTCCCTCAAACCATGCGACTTAAGGAAAGGTATGTTATTATTTTTCTTAACAACTGGACAATCAAATTCTGTCTGGTTGATGATAAATTGAGCCAAAATTCCCATAGACTTTGTAAGGAAGAAATACCTGGAGACAGAATATCATACATAGACTTAAGCAAACACTTAGAAAACACAGAATAGCAATATACTTAAACCATTCCAACCTTAGCAACCCCATAGCAATGCCCTGGCAACAACCCTGAACACCCCAGCAACTGCAAAGCAACATGTTTAAACCATTTAAAACCTTAGCAATCGCATAGCAACACCGTGGCAACCACCCAAAATATCCCAGCAATTGCAAAGTAATATGCTTAAACCATTCAAACCTTAGCAACCACACAGCAGTGCCCTGGAAACAACCCTGAACACCCCAGCAACTGCAAAGCAACATGCTAAAACAATTTAAAACTTTAGCAATCGCATAGCAACGCCGTGGCAACCACCCAAAATATCCCAGAAACTGCAAAGCAATATGCTTAAACCATTCCAACCTCAGCAACCCCATAGCAATGCCCTGGCAACAACCCTGAACACCCCAGCAACTGCAAAGCAACATGCTTAAAACCACTTAAAACCTTAGCAACCGAATAGCAACGCCGTGGCAACCACCCAAAATATCCCAGCAACTGCAAAGCAATATGCTTAAACCATTCCAACCTCAGCAACCCCATAGCAATGCCCTGGCAACAACCCTGAACACCCCAGCAACTGCAAAGCAACATGCTTAAAACCACTTAAAACCTTAGCAACCACATAGCAACGCCGTGGCAACCACCCAAAATATCCCAGCAACTGCAAAGCAATATGCTTAAACCATTCCAACCTCAGCAACCCCATAGCAATGCCCTGGCAACAACCCTGAACACCCCAGCAACTGCAAAGCAACATGCTTAAAACCACTTAAAACCTTAGCAACCGCATAGAAATACCCTAGCAACAACAAGAACACCCTAGCAACCTAAAGCAACATGCTTAAACCACTCAGAACCTAAGCAAACATATAGCAATGCCTTGGCAACAACCCAGTACACTTTAGCAATTAAACCATTTAGAACCTTAGCAACCATATAGCAACGCCCTGGCAACCAACAAGAACACCCTAGCAACCACAAATAAAGGTTTATAATTTTAAAACGCTGATAAGATCTAAAATAATGGCTGCCTTAAAAAAACTCACACTGGGGGGTCAGCTAGAATGTTTAAAACGTATGTGTGAAAGGGTTAAATGTGGAACTGCTGGTATTTTAAGAGAATGGCCCAATGTTAGCTTTTCTCACCCCTTCTCTGTCTCCCTTTTCCAGGACTCGGAAGGTCGCTCAAAAGTGCGAGAACAGCACTTCACCCTGGAGGAGGACCTCACCCCCAGCTTTGGCTTCTTGCAGTCCTTCATCCTCCTCACAGACCACTACATACTGGTAGGAAACTGCAACATAGTCATGGTGTGGTGCTGAAAGATTAATCACCATAGACAAATGAGTGGTTAATTCACTCAAAGCTTTTTTTGTTGTTGTTGATCCAAGCTTTAAACATATCATAATTTTGTATGATGTTTTTTTTCAAACTTTATGTCTGAAAGTCTGGATCTGGGACAAGAGTACAACAATAAAAGTTACTGTTACTGTTTATCTCTGTGTTCTCACAGGCACGGATCGCCTTTGTGGCAATAATATTACTAAACCTGGGTGGACTTGTACTCTTCAGATTTATGCCTGTATCTTCAACAAGAGGTATTTCAGTTGCTTTAACGTTTAACAAATCTTCTGTCCTGTCTTCATAGTGCCAAAGCATAATCGACATTTCACACTATAAACTCTTCTAATTTATCAGGGCTGTCTTCTCAAGTGTGGATCTCCCTGCATCTTGTCAGTAAGAGCAACGTGTTCTTCTACTCTCTGCTGCTGTTCAACCTGTATACAGCATTAGGTAAGTCATCGTCTGGCACCACTTTTACAGTTTTGCACATTGATGGAACATAATTATTTAAACTACCACTGTAGAAAGCCTGTGATCATTTATTACACAGAAAGAGAGAAGTATTTTTTTTAATTCAACCATTCAGAAGAGAGACTGAATTATATATAATGGCATAATTGTTATAATATAGATAACTGCCTCTCATAGTTTCATAAATGCCTTTAACTAACACTTGACCTGCATAAATGAATTAACTTAAAAAGAAATCTAATAAAATTGTGCAAGTGTCAATTACACCATTGACTCCTGAATCATCAATCATCTCCTGAAAAAATAAACACTAAAGAAAAGTAAAAAATATATATATTATATATTTTATATGTATATATATATATATATATTATATGTGTATATATATATATATATATATATATATATATATATATATAATATATACATATATACATGCATGTCAAATCATTGGTACAATAATATCATGACATGACGGATGTTAAACCAGGTTACACAGAAAAGACTATTTGGATCTATTTTGGATCAGAAATTGACAATTCCTGTATCCATTTACAATTTTAAAATTTGGGTTTACAAATCAATATAACTGTACATTTAAATTAGAGATAAGCTAAGTGGTCATTTTTGACCTAAAACATAACAGCGGTAATTTTTTAAACAGTTCACAAATCAAAAAATGAAACTTCTGTCATAATTGACTCATCCTTGTGTTATTCTAAATTTGTATGAGTATTTCATCTTTGCAACACAACATTAGATATTGTTATTATAAAAACAAAAGTGTATGTTTTTTGCCTATACAATGAAAGTCAGTGGGGTCCAAAAAACCCAAGCCCCGTTGTCTTTCATTGTATGGATGAAAAAAAACAAAAACACAAATGTGTTTCTGTTCAAAATATCTTGTTTCACAAAAGGGTGAGTAAATGAAGACAGAATTTACATTTTGGGGCAGACTGTTCTTTTAAGCAGTCAGATCCACAGATTGGTTTTTCAGGTGTCACTTTTGTTGTTGATTTTGAAGAAACCTCACACTTCAAAGGAAGTGACCTGAAATGAATAATCATGCTAAATATAAATTTATGCAGCCCTACTTGGTTTGCTAAAGAGTTCAATGAAGACATGTCAGGATGAACTCAGTTGCAACGTGTCCTTGCAATTACTGTGAAAAAGGAACGTTGTGCTCTGTCTGCTGGTTTTTCAGGTCCATGGTTCATTGGGGAAGTCATAGATGGACACAATGGAGCCGGCTTTGCTTTTGGTGTGTTTGTGGATGGGCATTTCCTTGAAGGCGGTCTGACATATGTCGTGGGAGTCATGCAGGTAATTCAGGATTTAGGGTTGGGAACAAAGAACCTGTTCTTTTCTGAAATAACCAGAAACGTGCAAAATTAGAAATAGAATTGACTGTACAACGCTGAATGTCACAGAATCAGACTGTTTAATTAATACCGGTTTAAGAAAAAAAAATACTAAAAGACTGCTACTTCAATGTGATGCCTGCATTTTCTACGTGTCTCTGTGAGAATGAACAGCACAGTTTCATCTACTATACATACGTCAAGTTTGTTGTGTTTTCAGCGTCTGCTGTCTCACTATACGAGGACATGGAAACATAAACTTATGATGACATTAACATAAACTTAACTAGATTTTTACCATTTTATTTGATAAAAAGAATGTGAGGCCTTTATGTATGAATGAAATACAATCACAGCTGAAGGGCATTGTTAGGCACAACACAAAGTACCTTATTGCTTTAAAAAAAAGGTTACCACAAAATACAAATATGGAAGCTGAAAATATATGTATTAATATGTTGCTATTTTTAAAGCAAAATCATTCAACCCAAAAAATAGTCCCTGATAATGACAGTAAAGGGCAAGAGAATGTTGCTAGATGTAATGCCTCATCTAATAGACCTCAAATAAAACCTTTATTTTTTTTAACACAATATATATTTCCACACAACTTTAAGAACCCATAAGACTTTTGTTCATGATTTAAGGTCTTTTTGATGAAATCTGAGAGCTTTCTGTCCCTTCATTGAAAGCTACGCGACTACCACTTTGCTCATAAAGAGATCATAAAAAATAATCTTTTAAAGAGACAAGATCACTTTATATGATGAACAGATTTGATTTTAGGCTTTTATCCCCATATAAAAATTGATCAGAGAACATAAACAGAAGCTCAACCGAACCTGCTTGACGCGTGAGAACAAACCTCTTGCCGAAGCTCAAACGTGTCACATAACACAAGAATGAACCTCATTGGTTCTCGCACATCAAGTGAAGATCCTTGAGCTTCTGTTTACCACAACTGATGTGAGTTGATGATTGTTTATGTGAATGAAAGCCTAAATTTAATGTTCATCATATACAGCGATCGGGTCTCTTCAGAAAATTTGGCCAAAATTGCTCAATTCATATGGATTAGTTTTACGATCTCTTTATGAATTTTTTGAAGAGTCAAAGTAGTAGTTGCGTAGCTGTCAATGGAGGGACAAAAAGCTCTCAGATTTCATCAAAAAGATCTTCGTTTGTGTTTTGAAGATGAACAAGAGTCTTACAGGTTTGGAATGCCATGAGGGCAAGTAATTAATGACAGAATAAAAACTTTAAAAGCTAACCCTTTAAAGGGATACTCCATTTGTTTTGGAAATAGGCTCATTTTACAACTCCCCCAGAGTTAAACAGTTGAGTTTTACCGTTTTCGAATCCATTCAGACGATTTTCTGATATTTAGAAGAATATCAGTAACCAGACAGTTTCTGGTCTCATTGACTTCCATAGTATATTTGTTTTCCTTCTATGGTAGTCAATGAGACCAGAAACTGTCTGGTTACTGATATTCTTCTAAATATCAGAAAATCGTCTGAATGGATTCGAAAATGGTAAAACTCAGCTGTTTAACTCTGGGGGAGTTGTAAAATGAGCCTATTTCCAAAAAAAGTGGAGTATCCCTTTAACGTTCAGCATGAGAAAAACGTTAGTTTTCCTAACTTTAACCAGAAACTTTCTTACAATTCCCAACCCTAACTATAACAGATGAGTCATAACATGCCGTCTGTCATCCACAGGTGCTTTTCTTCAATATGCCTCTCACTTATTACCTCTGCTGGAGTCTTCACCACAGGTGTCGCGGCACCAACTTCCGCTCGCAAATCTGCCGGCCGGGCTGCCGCTGGAGGACTCTGGCCATACACTTCGGCATGCTGGTCCTCATGATCTGGCAAGCCTATTCTTGCTACTTCCTGCTGGAGACCTACGGGCTACTGGCCTTCTTCCTGTCTCCCGTACGTACCTGGGCCTTTGTCATGGGCCTGCTGTTGGTGTACAGAGCATGGTGGGGAACTCCTCCTCGTTTCTCCGATGGCAGCAAGACCAACCGGCCATTGTGACGCTGACAGTTGAAGAGGGGCCTTCGCCTGTATCATTGTGACATTGTTTTGTGCCAAGCTCTTCCTGTCTTTACGGTCACCAAATTGCCAATCTTTACCGCTAAAAACAACTTTAGTTAATATACAAATCCGTTGTATGGAGCGATGATGTCGTCATCATCCCATATGGGTGATGGAGCCGTTTAAAACCACTCCTCTACATAGCCAGTTCCCTTCATTGTGAAGTCCTAACAGATGTGTGTGGTTAAGCACACCTATTACTTTAATAATCTGCACATTATGTTCTTGTCAAATTATGTTTGTTTTTATATGTGAGGAGCAATCAAGAAAGGAATAATGATTTTCTTAATTATTCTGCACCAAACTGACTCTACACAGAGAGGTCATTTAATATGGATCTTCTTAAATGTTTTTTCAAGTATATATCACACTGTAAAGAGGGATATATCTCTCTCTCGATTTTCTTACACCTGCACACAATAATATTTATTGGTTAATTTATGTGACGAAGCTGGCCATTATCGCAAATTGTTTCGGGCGGAATCAAACACCATTTCAAAAGAAGCCGAAGCATCAAGCTTTGCATGTCGCCAACAAACAAACAGATCGGAACTGTGTATGTGAGCGTAATGGGACACTGTTCAGCCAATCAGAACCAGCATTACATGGCTACTTACCAAAATACCCACATTTTATTATGCTAGGAAAAACTGTAGCGTCACACAAGGGACATGAAATTGCCTGGAATAATGTTAAATTGTATAGTTTAGTGGTCATTATGCAATATATTTGACATAGATTGCCAAGAAGTTTTATAGGGTTTTTATAGGGAAGAATTATAGGGTTCGGTCACCCAAAAATTGTTGCAAACATGCAAGACTGTTGTTTATCTTCGAAACACAAAAGATGATGTTTTTACAGAAGCTCAACAATACTTGAGCTTCTCATTGGTTCTCAGTTTCCATTATGTGAATACAAGCCTAAATTACACCTGTACATTTCTTTTAACCTTCAAATGGTCTTCGTTCACTGTTTACACTTCTTGGCTTCGGGGTCTACACGACCCCAACAATTGATTGAGTAATTGTACAAAAAATATACATTTTTAATCATACAAATAATATATCATTTTTTTTGTTTACTTCTCATCTATTCATTAATGCTGTGTTTTTGGATATATAAAGTACTTTTGTATCCATATATCACACAATTCCTCAACTACACCATTAGCTTGCATTTGAAATATTTTTTTTTTTTTATGATACATTGCATTTATGCTCTAGTACTAGGCCTTCATTTCTGTGTAAAAATTTTCAGATTTATGCCGGATGTTTTTTTGTTTAGTTTTTTGACACGTGAAAAAAATATATTTATTTATTTTTTTTTCACATTTCCCATTCATTTCAATGTGGGGTCATATTGACCCCGAAGACCAGAAGTGTTGTATAGATAGATAATGTATGAAAAGTCACAAAATCTTCCAAAACATTCCACTGAGATGAAGGGAACCTTTTTTTTTTATTATTAAGTAAAAGTCGATTGGGGTCGTATAGACCCCATGACCCGATTGAGGGCTACAATGTCCTTTTTGAACCTTTTAGAGCATGGAGGTTTTCAGGGAACGGCCTTTGAATGGAGGTACAGAAATCTTTCAGTAATCATTACAAATATCTTAATTTGTGTTTCAACGATAAACAAAAGTCTTGTGGGTTTGGAGCGACATAAGGGTGAGGAACTGATTGATTTTGAAGTAAATTAACCCTTCAGAGTCGTGTAATAAGTTTTGGTATGTAACTCAAAGTAAGCATCTTCACTGCCAAACTATAATCCACCATCTGCAGTGGAAGATCTCGATTTTTATCTACAGTTTACTCAAACCTATTAATCATTCAAATGCATATTCCAAAAAAGACTGTTCTCTCAAAAGGAAGAAACCACTATGTTTATATACAGTAGATGAGCATGAATGTAGAACATTTTCGTACAATGCACAATGGTTCGTAATTAATCCATTAATGACCACTTAATAATACACATCCAAACACATGCCAGACTGCTAAAGGGCACGTGCCAATGTAGCGTATAGAATAAAACGCTGAACACATGGAAACAATCAAATGTGCACAATTCTGATACGTGTTTATTAGAGAAATGTTGTCAAGCAGCTCTTTTATAGTTAGTTTTGCACAGTTGCAAACCACACAAACAACCTGAGGACAATGGGCATTTTTGTGTTGTCATTGAGGTATTTTGCACCATAATCCACTTGACGGGTGACTGAAAGAGTTTCTGGTGGATTCACTGTTTTGTCAGGTCACTCAAGGTCTCTGTTCTCTCTCAGGAAAGTAAAGACTTGAACAATAGGCTGCTCTAGTTTGTCTTTCAATGACCTGAATGTTATTTTGAAAGAGTTTTGTTGCAGTTTTAAGGCACATTATATTGAGAATTAACATTTTTGGAAGATTCCACATTTACTCTAGATTTGTGGTGAACCAATAGGACTTTGAATGTCTGATGATGAAATATCTGCTTATATGTGATTTGGTTTTAATTACTATATTGAACTTATTTTAATGTATGCATCCACATTGATGTTGTAATGTATATTTCTTCCAGTTGTTTTGCACTGTTTTTATGGGCATTCTCTGTTTCTGTGATCATGTGATTTTTGTCGTTTCACTGATGTTGGAAAGTGCTGTTTGCAAATATACAAAAAACAATGATTTTCAGTGAAAGATTAATGCATATTTACTTCAGATTTTACTTTTAAAAATTGATCAAAACATGTCCAAATAAATAGATTCTTTATTCAGATTTACAGCTGACATAGATGCTTTTGCTCATGAAAATGACCTCAATTTATGTCACATTTTTGCACCTATGAATCATCTTGCATTGGGATTGATTTATCTGGCTGTATTCATGTACTGTACAATAAAGTAAAGGGGTTTCATATTGTGATTTTTACATTTTGTGGCGTCTTTTTCGTTTGTAACCTTATTGTCTTAAAAAAATCTAATACATTTTTTACAAAACGAATACATTTCAATACAAAATTGAATATCTGGCACATATAATGTTAAAAACTTTGTGGTAAGTAACAATTTAAAAAAAAGAAATTAAAACTTTTACTCAGCAAGGATGCATTAAATTGATCAAAAGTAACAGTAAACAGTCATCCAAAAAAAAAATCCTGAAAAAAAATTATATTAAGGAGCACTGTTTTCCACATTAAAAATATTTAATATTTCTTAAAGCACCAAAACATCATATTATAATTATTTCTGAAGGCTGGAATAATGATGCTGAAAATTCAGCTTTGTCATCACAGAAATAAATTACATTATAAAATATATAAACACAGAAAATGGTTACTTTAAATTGTAATAACATTTCTGTTTTTACTGTATTTTTGATCAAACAAATGCAACCTTGGTGAGACTGAGACATTCTGTTACATTATTTTATGAACAAATTATATACATTTTCAGTGGCAAACCTCAAGCAGTCTTTTAAATCAAACTTTTTTTTTTTATGTTAAACTTTTGATATGTTACTGAAAACAGACACTAAAATTAGTTTAAAATGGACATTTAGCACAAGGCCAATTTTAATTTAAATTAATTTTATTTTAAACCTCTATAGTGACTTCCTTCCAGCACACTTAAAGGGACAGCCTCACTGAAGCGACATCAAATTTAGCTTCTTAGTAACCTTTGTATTACCAGCCCAGATTCACAACAACACCGCAAAACTCCCACAAGGCCTCCAGATGCAGATGTTTGTGTCATTCTGAAATTTTGACAACTTGTTTACCTACGTTGCCTCCGGTCATCATGGAGCAGAACGCTTCTGAAATATGCGAGTGTAGTATTAATATAATAAACAAGGATGGTTCATTCAATATGTATGGAGAGTACACATGATAAATTAATGACAATAACAAACTCTCACCTCCCATGTTTTCTATACCAGTTACAACAGTTTCCAACACCTGTAAAATGAAAAGGAGGAATATGGTGTACCAAAGGTTTGTTATGCTTTCCATGTGAGGAAACATGACTGTGGTAGATTTACCTTTATCTGGCCCATCTTTACCCAGCGACTGAGCTGCATAAGACCTTCTTCATGTTTCTCCAAGTAGTTCAATACAACAAATCGCTCCCTGTGAACATATACAAGTTAATAAAAAAGAAATAAAACAAATAAAACATTTCAAAAGAACAAGAGAAAATCACTCACTGTTCTTGATTGGATAACTTTTGTAGAAATGGTCACAGTGAATACTGTGCAGTGTTATTTTACATTTGATTACTTTATTCACTTTCTGCACTATTTATTTTCTAACCTGAATATTACCATTAGACCTACCACACAATCTTAAAGCAGTGTTTATTGCATTTTTATCTTAATTCTTTTGTATTCATTTGTGCCATCACTTGTAATCTATTTATTTGTACTTCTTTTATTATAGACTGTTTACTTGTCAGATGTTTGAACTTTATATTAGTTAAGCTAATAGTTTTTGTTGTGTAATTAAATTAATTTCACTGGTATGTAAAATGTTGGTATCATTATTATTATTATTATCTGGGTCAAAAAGGTTAACAAAAAAGGATAATCTTTCAATTATATTGTAATGATGAATGTCTATAATTACTCATTTCATTCGCAGAAATTGAGAAAAGAAATGGATAAATCACAATTAATTACAGAAAAATTATTATTTTTTAAATTAGCAATAGATTGGCAGCACAAAATATTCATACATCAAATTATATAAAGAAAACCACAAACATACAAATGTATTAGCCAACAAACTAGGTCCTAATTTCTCTCTAATACCTTGTAATGTTGTTGCGACGCAAAGCATCTTGGGTATGCTCACTTAGAGGAGGTGGGTAAGGCACATCCTTATTGTACTGTGAGATTTGGCCGCACAGGATCACATGACCACCGGGATTCATCTACACAGCATGAGTATTGCACTTTAACACAAAAAAACAAGCCTCCGAAATTGACCAATTAAGAAGGCAGCACATACTGTGAGGACTGTACCTGTGATATAACAGCATCGCTAATGGGACCGCCAACATTGTCAAAGTATATATCAATGCCTCTGGGGCAATGCTCTCTCAGCGCTGAGTTGATATCTCCATCTCTGTAGTTTATCCCTGCTGTAAAGCCCAGCTTTGTAACCAAGGTCTGGCATTTCTGGTCAGAACCGCAAATGCCCACAACTCTCTCACAACCATCCAATTTGGCAATCTTAAACAATAGAGGGGGGAATTAAAATAACATGGCAAGGACAGAGCAAAAATGATTTAAGTTAACAGGCCAGTTTCGTACAGTCCATATATTTCGTATATACAGAGAACAGGCCAGTTTCGTATATACAGTCAGTCACACATTACCTGTCCAGCAACTGACCCACAAGCTCCAGCTGCTCCACTGATGACCATTGTCTGGTGAGTTCCTGCAGTCACATGACCCTTCTCTCTCACACCTAACAGAGCAGTGAGGCCAGGCATGCCTACCGCTCCTAGAACATATGACAGGTGTCCATCTACCATCTCTGGGTCAACCTGCAAGAATGAGTACACCACACATCATAAAGCCTCATATCCAATTATTCATATACATTAGTTGATCAAACTTGCTCAAATAAACATTACACCTTTTGTAAAAGGCTGCCATCCATCACATCGTAGGTTTGCCAATGCCAGTTGAAGGAGGTGACGATATTGCCCACAGATAATGCCTTGTTCTTGCTGGCCTCGACTACACCAACTCCACCTCCATCCACACACTCATCTAATCGCCATGGCAACAGGTAGTCCGCTCCAGTATCATTGTTCATGCGACAGCGCTGGTTTGTTTCATAAATGAGTGAATAAATTAATGCTTGATAATAATTTCAGTTTGATATTTGTAGTGAAAAGTATATATATATATATAAACAAAATAGAAAAATGTGTACAGGTGTGCTATATACAGAATAGAATTAATAGAGAATGGAATAAAGTGGTAGGGCTACTTCATGAAAACTCAAACCACATAAAAGATAAGTAGAAAAAAAAGAATAAATGAAGGAAAGAAGGTCGTCTCACCATGTAAGGGTCAACTGAAAGAAACA